TTTCCCTACCTTGTTATAGTGCCCATCCACTGAGAGGATGACATTCAAACCCAGGTCTGATGACTTTGACTAATGCCTTGTAGTGGTGACCTGGAGGTGGCAAGGTACATAGTTCAGATGTGGATGTGGAGGTCCCTAAAGCCTGTGATGGGAGACAGGTTGTGTAACTTTCTACAAAGATCCCATCCACCATCCTGACTAGTTGAAACAGCCAAAGTAAATCTTGCTCTCAGATTGTTTAATCGTGGTTTTATACTGAGACAAAGGCGTGCTGGGATAGCACCGGAGTGACGCACAATCAGTGACTTCTATTAACGTACCCCACCACCAGGTCTCAGTGCTTTGCCAGAAGGAGCTCCCAGTGTAAGGGCTCTCTTGTAAAGATGTATGTATCTGAGCTGTGTTTAGTATCATCCAAGAGTCACCACTGGCATCTGACCAGACCCTGGGTAGAGCTGTTCAGTGTAAAGTGCACATAACAGGAAAAAAAAGTCTGAATAGAAGCAGTAGCTTGAAACAGAGCTAAAGTAAACCTACCTGCTGTCAAATCAGCCATTAATTTTGGCTCATATTTGAAACATGGCTGGTCCAGTGTGCTAGTATTTACTGCCACTGAAGCACCAAGATACTATCATTTGTGCATGGATAGTGTGACTGTTAATGGTGCCCCAGCATTTTGACCACTGTGCTTTTAGACAATTAGTTCTTCCATAGATGGGTGGAAAATTGGCCTTCACTTTAGCCAGGATAATTGTGTCTTCTGTCAGCCTATCCTCTGCCTTCTGTCTTCTGATCCAGCTCAGTTTCTTTTGATCTACAATTCCTTGGGATGTCATGTTGCCAGGGTCACCACCTTTGCAGTTTTCATGGGAAAGACTCAATACTGAGTGGGTCTAGGCAGACTTGAAGTGAAGAAGCCATGAAAGTGTCATGGGATGTATCCCCCATTAGTCCTATGTCATCCAGCTGTGATGTCCCCATCTTGTTACATGACCCTATACAGTTACATGACCACCAGTTACAACACAGATGCTCAACATCTGGATTAGAACCCAAGACTGTCATTTCTATCATTTGAGTGAAAGGAAAATCTTCATTGACTTGCTGGCAGTAGTAGGGCTCTTATGTGTATGGCCCATCTTTGGGAGGTGGTGGTATACATTCATGTTGGCACACATGCACACCACACCCTACAGCTCTGACCCCAAGATGGTGGGCCCAAGCGGTCATGAATCCTTCACAGTTCTTCTGCTGACTTGCTCTGTGGCTTTGGGTGGGTCATTTGACCTCTGTGTAACCCAATTTCTCTCCTGTTTGCAAACTGAGGATACTAGTACTTGATTCCCTACCTCACAAAGGTGTTCAGAGGCTCCATCAATCCGTGTATGAAGATGAAAAGTGCTATTGTAAGTCTGTAGGTTACAGCCGCTGTATGGTTGTGGTGATGTGCTATGGTGTTGCCATACCAATGGTCACAATATCATAATGAACCTGGGACATCCTGTTGTATAAAACCTATCAAAGGCACTAATCCTCAATTGTGGAGGTGAAGAAAGAGCATGTGTGCAGGGAGGGATTTGGTGGGGGTGGGGGGGGGAGGTGTTTTGCACAGTTTTGAGTTTCTTTTATCATATCATATAAGAAACAAATGTTTGTCTCTATTGAGCAATGAATAACTTGGCTGGAGAGCAGTGACTACAGAGAAAGTAACTAGGGATTTGATCCTGTATCTAACTCGTGGGAGTTCTGCCAATCACTTCAGGATCAAACCCTTAGAGCAATAGAAAAGGCTCAACCCAGCTCCCATTGAAGTTGACAGATGCCCACGGACTTCAATGCGTTAGATTGGATGCGGCCCACAAAAAGTAGGATAGGTTTTCTAACGGCTGTGAAGCATGACCAACAGCCTTGAAGTTGTTGACCTGTAGCATATTTTCAGTGTGTTCTGAATCGTCTGACTATTCTTAAATGGGGGTGTTGGGGATTTTCTTGGTCCATTTGTAGAAGCCAGAAAGGATAAAAAAAATCCATGGCAAAATGTACAGTATATGTCTTCTGTTTGATGTCACTGTTTGAAATGGTTAGTAATTTTTCAAATCACTGTGGACCGCTAATCACTTAAATTATTAATTTATTTTTTGGGCAGGGGGGTTCTTTTTTTTTTAAGAAAAAGAATAATTTGAAACAGTTATTTATCCTGTAAATTGGCCTTCAGTTTAACTGGGATAATACAGTTTTGCTGTTTAATAAAGGTGGTACATGCCTGAAGCGAAAATATTGTTTTTTATGTACTGTATCATATAGCAGGCAAGCAACACAATAATAAAAAAGTAATAAAAAGGCAACCACAAATCCTGAGGCATAAGCCGGTTTTGATCTGAAGGTTAAAAAAAAAAAGTAAGTTTTTGGCAAAATGAGCTCTTCCAACATGTGTGCTTCTAGGTTAGTCATCATGGCATGATCAGACTATCCTTCTGATCTCCAGCCTAATTGGTATCTTTCCATGTCAGTTAATTAAGCAATGCCACTTTGCATCAGCTCACAATTGGTCTGGGGTGCTGGATACATGCCTTGGTGTCATTTACACTGGTTTGATTTACAGGTGTAAACTGTACTAGGATCAGGAATACATGGATGATTGGGGACCTACTTAAATCACGCTTTTGTGATTTGCACGGAAACGACAATAAATGGCAGTTTTTTTCACGATCGCTGCAAAAAATGACGTTTGCCGTGATTTCTCACAGAATTGTTGGAAGAAAAATTAAAATGTACTAAAAATAAGGGAAGGTGCCAGCTAGTGGGGTGGCATGAAGGGAAGCAGCCAGGATGGTGGCCACCCCTTCGTCCCTCTTCCCTTTCCAGGACCTCTCCACCAATTTAGTGGTGAGGGGTAGGGTTGCATGAAGGGCAGCACTCTCCACCAATCAGCGATGACAGGTGGGGCACGCAAAAGTGTCTCTCTGCAGCATGAGCGGTCATGAAAAACTCTTCATCTTGCCCCAATTTAGGTAGGTCCCTACTGTTGAACAACTATCCCAGGGTAGCTGCATGCAGAAGGAGGCTTTTAGCCTACCTCACCACTAGGGAAGCAAGTAACTTTCTGGTTTTGCTTATAGCAAACGGCTACCGCAGGATGGATGTGGGCAGATGACACCTAAACTGGTGCAACTTTACGCCGATTTAGTTTTACCCCCTGCCTGTTTCAGGGGTATTCCATCACCAGATTGGTCACAGCTACACCAAGGTAGGGATTTGTATCAGCTGCTGCTCCTTTTTTGGAGTAAGGCCAATGACATTTGGATAAATGTGTCATCTGTTTGAGCCCCAAGCCTGAGAGTCAGAAGCCCATTGTTCTAGTCCGGATTCAGACTGAACACCGAGCGTGCCTTTGAACACACTACTAGAAATACACCTGTGATGGCTCTTCTATTCATGCAGTTGACTCATTAGTGGTAATCATAGACTCATAGAAAACTAGAGTTGGAAAGGACCTCAGGTCATCTAGTCCAGCCCCCTGCTCAAAGCAGGACCAGTCCCAACTAGATAATCCCAGCCAAGGCTTTGCCTCGCCGGATCTTAAAAACCTCCAAGGATGGAGAGTCCACTACTTCCCTGGGTAGACTGTTCCAGTGCTTTGCTACCCTCCGAGCGAGAAAGTTTTTCCTAATATCTAACCTAAACCTCCCTTGCTGCAACTTGAAACCATTGCTCCTTGTGCAAGAAAGTTTTTCCTAATATCTAACCTAAACCTCCCTTGCTGCAACTTGAAACCATTGCTCCTTGTTCTGTTGTCTGCCACCACAGAGAACAGTCCAGCTCCATCCTCTTTTGAACCCCTCTTCAGGTAGTTAAAGGATGCTATTAAATCCCACCTCAGTCTTCTCTTCTCTAAATAAGACCAGTTCCCTTAGCCTCTCCTCAGAAGTCATGTATCCCAGCCTCTGAACCATTTTCACTGCCCTCCCCTGGACTCGTTCTAACTTGTTCACATCCTTTCTGTGGCAGAGCGGCCCAAAACAACACAGGACTCCAGTAATGACTTGTATCATCTAACTGGGGAGCACGCTGAAGTTATCTGTTCCCCACTAAAGGTCTCTTCTCACTACAGAGTTAATGTGGACAATTGGCACCTGGATTAGCCTAGCCAAATTATTAAGTCATATCCAAAGTACCAAAGGCCAGATTGTGTTCCACTATTACGTGTCTAATGGACTTAAGTGCCTAAGTGCAACTCTATTCCACCCTGTTCAAATGCCAAAAATCCATGAGCGCATCTACTTTCATAACTCGCCATCCTCTGACCCTGAAGACTAAGTCACAAAAGACCAGCGAGGAGGAGAAGGACCCACCCACCTTTTGTCTTCGCTGGTTTTCAGGGACTTGGGCAGGGTGCAACATTATCACATTTAGGCACCCAAGTCTACTTACATGCCTTATAGCTTGGCACAGAATCTAGCCCTAAGAGTTCGCTTAGGGGGTACTTGGAGACTGTGGCAGAAATGCCCCCGTCGGTGCCCCTCTCCAGAGATCTGTCTCAGCCAGCCCGAGAGGCTGCTGTTGAATCTCTCACAGCGGGGATCTCGCTCCTTGTCTGCAGACAAAAGCCTGGCGCCTGGGAGGCGATGCTCTGGTCACCTGGGCAGGGGGGGAAAGACCCGGCCCTGCGCGCGGGCCCAGGTAGCCAGGGATGCTTTGCAGATTGGACGGTTTGTAGCCAGTATTGGCAGCTTCGATTGGACCGGCTGCTGAGGTCAGGGAGGTTTTAAAAAGGCCTGGGCCAGGAAGAAGGGGAGCCATTATCCATGCGGTCATCCAGGTGAATCTGAACCTGGCTCTCTCCTCATCACCGCATGCTGCAAGAGTGCCCTGCCTCCAGAGGAAACAACAA